CGTTTGCGTTAGGGTCCTGCTGTCAGCATCCCATCAGAGGCCCAGCGTGATATGGATGCAGTCCCTGGGCACTGCCCCCAGACAACTCAGGGACACAGGTGTCACCGGGAGGTCAGGGAGTGTGTTCCCAGAGAACCAGACGACATTGCTCTCCAACAGCGTTCACTCTCCTCACATAGCGCTGCCTTGCAGCTCAGGGTCCCTCAGAGATCATGACCTTATTAGTCAGGCTGCTGAGATGCCATATTAGACATGTAGTAAGGTCTCATCTATTGCCCTTAGCGTTTATAATCCCAGATATTTCCCAGCTACCCCGCTACTCTCGATTGCTCCTCTCCCTCCCCCTTTCCCTGCCTCCTTCTCTTATTTTGTTACAGTAGTGTTCTCCTTCTTGCCCCTTTCCCTCCTCTCCCTCCTTTTTCCTCCCTTTCCTCTTCCTGTTCGTTTCCCCTCCCCTCCCCTTCTTCCTGTTCCCCTCCCCCTCTTCTCTTTCCCCCACCAATATCCACCTGGAGAGTTCAGCAGGGTATTTCATCCAAGAGGTCATTGTTTTTTGCTTATCCTGACTTCCGGTTCGCAAAGAGTGCAGGAAGCGTCTTTGCATTTCAGACAATTTTCTTTTGTCTCCAGGGAAATTTTTTCCAGGTCAACCCTGCTCCCCCAACCTCATAAAAAACTTTGGACACTTTCTCCCAGAAATAAGGTTACCATACTTTTCATTTCCCTGGAACAGTCCCATTTGAGCCTGTTGTCCCAATGTCCCATCAACTGTACTTGTTTCAAGGTGCATTTTAAATTATATGGCTGTCTTATCCACAAACCTCTTTTTTAGCTATTGGTTTGGAAATGTACTTAATATGAATGCCTTTCCCCTCAAATGGATAATTTGCTTTCTTAAGGTCCTTTGGACTGGATGATTCTAGAAGCCTGCCCCATTTAGGAATGACTCTCCCCTTACATTAGGATTGTGTGGGTCATTCCTGATGACCCATATCCTTACACACAACTCTCAAGTATGTGTATCTCAAAATTACCAACACAGATCACCTTCTCTCCCAACACCCACCTGAATTCCACTGTCATTAGTTTCCCCTTCCTTAGTACACACCTCTCTCTCACGCTACCACTTTTGTGTAATTATCCTCTATTCCATGTGAGCTGCATGAACCTGGTATAATACCTGACTCATAAAAGAAATACAGAGAGCTCATTATCAGACATGTAGTACTTATCATGCAACACGCATAGCTCTCAGACTCAAATCAAAACACATGCAGAGGACAGTCCTTCGTGAAAATGGGGGGAAGCCAACCAATTTGAAAATGGACACTTATATAGAAGTATTTGATGGATGAATATGAAGCATATAGCTGCAGATGCATTTAGAGTACTCCAAAAGGCAGTCTATACTAAATTACTATATTTAGTGATTATCTGTAGACCATAGTTGATGTGAAACAATTTTCTCTTTGGAGAAGAGGTGATGTGGTCCTATCTCTTTATTATTTATCAAGGGATGTGCCCAGGAAGTGCTTAAATGCTTAACTATTATCTGATGATTAAAATAAATCAGACTAGGACTTCTTTTTTCTCAGATATCCTCCAGTCCTTTCTTGTTCCTACTAGCTTCCTTAAACACAGATTTCTTTGGTTTTTGTAGTGTATATAAAAACAGAATCACCTATGGAAAAGCCAGGTTAAAAAGTTTACATGTAGCAGTTAACTTGAAAATGTATTTATCTAGTAATTTATGTATCTTATAACTCCAGAAAGAAGTACTACTTTTCAAAATCTTTGACAGTTAATTTGGATTTTTTAAATCTTTATTAAATTTATTGATACAATTTATGTATACAATACAGTTATATTCATCACTGGGATCTTGTACCGTTAGAAGATTTATCTTGGTTCTTATTTTTCTCTATTCCCCAGCCCTCCCTTCACCCCTTCCACCCTGCCCTGTTTACAAGAACATTGTTTCCATATTTTTCCTTTTTTACATATTTTTTATTTTCCCTACCCCTCCCACTTCCTCTATTCTTTTAGTCATTTTCTTCCTATTACACAAGATCAATTATACATTTTGACTCTTATTTACACTTTTACTTTTTCACACCAGAGAAGCTATTTGGTATTTACACATGTGTGTCTTATTAATTTCACTTATATGTATGGCCTCAGTGTGCATCCATTATAGCTATAAATATCTCTATTTTCTCGTTCTTTATGGCTGAGTAATACTCATTTTATAAAAAATACCCACATCTTTATCCAGTATCCAGTTAATGGGCAATTGGGCTGTCTCTTAAGTTTTAGCTATTATTAACTGTGCTGCTATAAACATGGGTGAGCATATATCACTGTGGTATGATTCTTTTAATTCTTTTGGGAAGATACCCAGCAGAGGGATGGCTGGGTCAAATGGGACTTCTAATCCTAGTTGTTTGACGAATCTCCATATTGATTTCCACAGTGGTTGCACCAGTCTGCACTCCCACCAACAATAAAGTTTTCTTGTCTCCCCACAACCCTGCCAGCATTTATCACTGGCTGATTTCTTGATAGCAGCCATTATTTCTGAGGTGACACGGAATCTCAGTGTTGTTTTTTTTTTTTTTTTTTTGAGTTTATTGGTACATTTAGGGATACAGTACAGTTACATTCATTGTTGGGATCATGTACCTTTACATGGCAAGTCTTGATTCTCATTTTTTCCCCTTACCTCTGCCCTCCCTTCACCCCCTCCTCCCCTCCCCATCTACAAACACTTTATTTTCATCTTTTCATTCTCTCACATTTTTTTCTTTTCCCTTTTTGTTCTTCCCCTACGTATCACACCTTCTCAGTGTTGTTTTTATCTGCATCTCTCGAATGACCAGTGATGTTGAACATTTTTTCATAAATTTATTTGCTGCTTTTACTTTTTTTCTGAGTAGTGTCTATTTATTTCAGATGCCCATTTTTAAACTGAATATTTATAATCTTCCTTCCTTGGCTCTCCCAGAAAGTGAATATCCATTCAACTGTCCGGGGTGCTAAGCTTCAGATGGAGGTTGAGTGATGGAATTGCTATTCTACCAATATTACAGCCAATGATAAGGTCAATATTTGATGCTAATTACGTTTATAAGTATTAATTATATCTTATATATCAAATAGATGGTATTTTATAATTAAAATATTTGACAAGGAGCAAATAATTTAGATTATAGTAAATGTTAAAAATATATTTTCTACTTTTTATTCCTGGTATTTCTCTTCTTAACTCTGTAGGAGGTTAAAGGAAAAGAAAATGCTGAGCTTGAACTCAGCTCCCCATTATGAAATAGATGTGTGGGGTTTTAAAATGTAGTTTTCTGCACAATATGTAACTTGTGATTTCTAAGTCTCCCAAACTCTCCAAAAAATCATATTAAAAAATCACCTTGCTGCTTCCTTCACTCAACCATTCATCTTATAGATATTGTATTTTGAATGGACTTTTTAAACTAGCACTGTATTTTGAATTATATAGAAAAGAGAGTAAGAAGAAAAGGGGGAAGGAGGAGGAGAGGAAGAAGAGGAAGGGAAAAGGGAAGAGGAAAAGGAGGAGGGGAAAGAAGAGGAAGAATCAAAATAAAACTTAAGTGCAGCATCTCTTAAAGGAAGAGACCATAATCTACAAAAGGCTGAAGCATCATATAATCATAAGGAGGATATGAATTGCAGAGTTTAAGGACTTATTAGCTCTATGACCTTGGGCAAGCCACTCAGTTTCCTTATCTATAAAACAAGAACAATAACACCCATCTTTTCTTTTGAAAGTTGTTGAGAGACTCTGATGAGATAAGATTTGTGTGAGAGCTTTGTAAACTGGTTATCCCACAAAAGCAAGAGCCATCACTAGTACAGGAGGAACATGTCAGTACTAAAAGGCACCTGTACTAGGCCCACAGAATTCTGAGAACTGCATGAGGAAAACATATGTCCATCAGTTACATTCAAGATGTATCACCTACTGCTAACAGATAATATCGAGAGTATACATTTTAAAAGTTCCTATAGTAAGGACCAAAATGGATGATAGATATTGGGAAGTAGGATGAAAATGTTCAAATAGGGAGGGGAACAAGGGAGGTGGGGAGGAAAGAGAAAAGGAAAGAAATGAGAATAGAATGGGAAAAAATGGAAACAAAACTTGTATAGATCAAGAGGGGAAGAAGAGTTGAAAGAAAGATAGAGGAATGAGAGAAAAAGACTCAAGATATGTACAGGTGCAAAATTCCTACAGTGAATGTGATCATGATGTATATCAAAAGCATACCAATAAAATTAAATTTAAAAAATAAAAAAAGCTCCTATAAATCAATAAAAATCTAGTTGGAAATGGCTGAAAGGGATGAGGGTATGAGTATTATTTGTAAAGTGGCAAAATATGAAAGATTGCTCAATCTTACTATTAGTCTGTAAATTA